GTTGCCAGAAAGCTGCAGTTGCAAAATCTGGGAAGGGTCAAATCTGAAGAATATTTTCCTTAAATTCTGTACACAGATTATGGATTTCTTCAGCGAAACATCATATTTCTAAAAGAGTTTGGTCCTTAAAAACATTCCAAATTGACAGTGTTATGAAAGATGATGCTACCATTAATGAATGGTGTAAAACATCACTTTTCAGTTGTACTGAATCATCATTCCCCATAATTAGTATTTTCCTGCATTTCCTACAAACTCTGAATAAAACATCTCAGACAGCTAAGCAATTATTTCCCTAGTATTTGATTTATTAATAACACCTAAGCACAATGAGAAAATGAATTGAACCAGTTAAAAATCTACAAAAAGATTGCTTGTTTGTGACTAAGCCGATTGTCATGTTCACTAGCTTTTCCTGGAATATAAAGGAGCACCTGCCACTGTATATGTGGGTTACCACATCTGGCTGCTAACATTTGGACAACCACTAGATGGCGTGAAAATATTAGAACTATCTATACATCCTTTTGCTACCATCTACTGATTGTCCAGGATTTTGCAGCTCAGTTCTGGTAATTCAAAATACTGTACTGTATACAGATAGTCCCCAATTTAGAACCATTTGTTTAGCAACTGTTTGAAGTTACAACGGCACTGAAAAAAGTCCCTGCAAATGCACCATCCCCACGGTGATTGGATCAAAATTTGGAGGCTTGGCAACTGGCATGTATTTACAACACTTGCAGCATGGCATGGTCATGCGATCACCCTTGCCACCTTCCCAGCTGATCTCTGACAAGCAAAATCAATAGGAGAAGCTGGATTCTCTTAATGACAATGTGAATCGTTTAACAACTGAGGCCCTTTGCCAGCAAACCGTGGCAAATAAGGCTGTAAAATAGGATGTGATTCACTTAACAACTGCCTTGCTTAGCAATGGAAATTCTGGTCCCAATTCTGGTCATAAGGCGAGGACTCTCTGTATTTGGCCAAACCAACATGCCAAACTTTCTTCACATTAATATAACTATTCAGTTCTGTCATATTCTCTACCAACTGGGATCTGGGAGTTAAAGTCCAACATAATTCTCAGATCCCAACCACGAGAGAATATGTCAGGAATTATATGAGAGTTGAATATCCAACACATTTGGAGGACATAGCTGGGAAATGCTAGCTTAGGAATTGACTCATATATCCTTTAACTATTTTTAGAATATGTGGCAATAAATAATAATTATTGCCTCCTTAATTCTGTTCCCATGGTTGTTTTCAATTTTAAAGGACAGGATGCTGAGTCTTTAACTATTAGCTGACTGCTAACAATACAGTGCACAAACTAAACTCTTCATCTTGGAGGGGTCTAGTAATTTCTTGCATTTCTGCTCATCAGATATCAAAGCAGAGAATGAATCCTGCATCAGTAATTCCTGTTCCTTTTTAGAATCTCACAGGCAAGGGCTGGATCTGATCCCTGGGTGTATTTTCCTCTCAGTACAGTAACTATCCCACTTTGCCAGGCTCAACTCAACTTGGGAATACTACTTCATGCTGCTTCCACAGGTAGGAATATTTTATTCAGGAAATAAGCCTGGTTTCCACCACCGGCACACACACCCCTTCCCAATCCACTATTTTTCATACTTGCTTGGCTTCCAAGAGAGCTTGGAATTCTGACAGCTTTGCACTAGATGGCCTGGTGATTTTTCATGATGCGGGTCAGAAGGGAGACAAGAGTATGGGGTCTAAAGAGGCTTATTACTCCAGAAGTGCCACTCACTTACTGAAGAGAAGGGAGAAATAAAATCTTCCCCATGTCTCCATGATGAAATATCAGCTTCACCAGTCGTGGGATCCTACCAGTTTAACAAATGGTTCGGTGATTGCATGGTCTGTGTACTCTGCTCACATCCGTGCTTGATGTGAACTCTGCGCGCATGCACAGTTTTAACAAAACTTACCTTCCACGTTACTTCTGGGGAGTAACACAGCTGAGGCGCAGCAATCCGCTCTGCTGCGTGAATCAGTGGACAGTATATAGATAAGTAAAGCACAGGGGTGGGCGGGCAGGCCCACCTGATCATTGGAACTACCAGTTCGCCCAAAACGGTCCGAACCGTCTGAATCCCACCTCTGACTTATATACTGCTCATAGTGCTTTATAGCATTCTCTGAGAAGTTTACAATGTCCTGATATTGCCCCCAACAATCTGGTCCTCATTTTACCAACCTCAGAAAGATGAAAGGCTGAGTCAACCTTGAGCCAGTCAGAATCAAACTCCAGACTGTGGGCAGAGTTAGCCTGCAATTCTGCATTCTAACCACTGCACCACTGGGGCTCTTATGTGGTAGGAATCCAGATTAAACCACCTCTAAGTCTAAGAATGGGAAGAGAGGGCACCTCCAACTTCGCCAGATTCAACTTGGAGCAGAGTTTCTCAAAGTTGGCTTGCTAATTCACTGTGGAATCAAAGGGACAAGAAGAGCTGTGTCAAAGCCAGTGCCCTATGCTGTTGCTTTCTATGGGAGGGTGAGTTTTAGGAGAAGAGACCTGAACTATTAGCATAGTAAGGTGAAGTGCGTTTTAATGTAACCATTTTAAAAACATGTTTTAAATCACATGAGTATTTTAAGATAAGATATGAAGAAAACACTATGATATTTGTAGGTCAGAATTCAATTATGCAGAGAATGGGAAAAACATTGCACAGCCTCTACCAATCCTACTTATAGCCATTGCCCAGGAAAAGCCCAAATAGCAAAGATGAGAAATTTATTCTTTCTTGCAATTTTCATCAAGAGGTGTAGTTTATCACATCAAATGTTGGCCACACTGGTCTTTCCCTCATGACTTTTCAGTAACCAGTAACAGCAATTGTATCTGAAACAAGCACATGCTGGCCATCATGTTTCAGCCATATCCCCATAAATGCTCTCATCTTGCCTCAAGCTACCTGTCAGTCCACCTTACGTCATCTTTAGCCAACTAGTATTATAGTAGACTTACACGATCCATCTACTACCTTGAAGAGAAGGTAAACACTGCAGGGATTTGCAACAACAGCAAGCTAGAGATCAGCAATAGGGACAAGAATTTTATTTATGCATTTAATTAACTAAAGAAAAACTAACCATGTACTTTGAAATGAAACCAACAATATACTAAATAAACAACTAATGGGGACTCTGTACCCACATTATCTCAATGCCTGGTCTTTAAAGAATTGGGGAATGTCACTAGGATGGGAATCACATGAATTTCTTGGGGGTTGTTCTGAGGAGCAGTGGCAAAGGAAGTGTGCTTCCCAGATCTAAGCAGGAGACGCTGTTTAATCAAAAATACCTGGAGCGTATCCACCCTTTCCAATCTACCTTGGATGTGCAGAAGCTATCAGAGAGGGGTTCTTCAAATACCCAGGCTCTATGCCATATTATGATTGGAACATAATGAGATGATGGCAGGCTCTCTCAAAGGTGAGGGGAATAGCACTTCAGCTCAGCATTGCAGAAAGGCAACATGCATAGTAGTTTCAACTTTGAAGGCAGTTGACAAGCCAATGTATAGTGTAACCTTTATTGTCATTGTACATCATGTATACAGTAAAATTGGTTATTCTTAGTCAAATGTCTTAGTCAAAGGAACTTTCCACATAGCATACCACTAGAACACAAGATTCTCCAAAAGTAGAATGAGACGTGCCCAGTGGTGAAATCCATTTTTTTTTACTACCGGTTCTATGGGCGTGGCTTGGTGGTCGTGGCTTTGTGGGCCTAGCAGGGGAAGGATACTGCAAAATCTCCATTCCCACCCCACTCTGGGGCCAGCCAGAGATGGCATTTGCCAGTTCTCCGAACTACTCAAAATCTCCGCTACTGGTTCTCCAGAACCTGTTAGAACCTGCTGAATTTCACCCCTGGATATGCCCCATTCTACTTTTGGAAAAAGGATTACAATGCAAGAGAATCTAGAAACAGGCCCCTGGCAAAAACAGAGTTCCCTGAAAATTCTTCATTGTCTATGTGCATGCGATACCCGAAGGAAATGAAAGTACAAAATTATTTATTTAATCCTTATTGAAGAAGCTCTTTTTCAACACCCCAAGGAAAAAAAATGCATGCCAGTTTAAGACCATGTAACAACAATCAACAGAATGCTTATTCTTTAAGGCAAACACGAGACCTGTGGGCTGGATCCGGCCTGTGATGTGATTGGATCCGGCCCATGGGGCTGCCCTGGAAAATGTTAGGGGCTGGTCCACATCATTTCAGCCCGTTCTACCCAATGGAAAGAGGAAACATGCCAGCAGTTGAGGAGTGGTGTTAAGCTGGCCATGTCACCCAGTTGGCCACGGTCAGTGAGTGGTGTAAATTGGCCATGCCCATCCATCTAGTCAGCTATGCCCATCCAGCTCCTTGAGGTCAACCACAGTCCTGATGCGGTCCTCAATGAAATTGAGATAGACACCCCTGCTTTAAGGACTTTCCAGTTAACTCTATAAATCTCTAGTTGTCAAAAAAAAAGCAGCACATTCAGCTTTGCTCTAGTTTTTAAAAGGCAAATTTTCAAATATGTTTTCCATATCAATCATTTGTGTTACAGCCAAAAGAACAAAAGCATTTCTTTCCAACCTAACAAATCTCTCAATCAGTACATTCATTAGCATTTCTAAAAGGACTACCCAACAACAAAGAATGTTCAGCTGTGTAAATTCGGTAGTTCAAGATGTTTCCCCAATCATGTCTTGGTGTGTGCCTTCATATTTCTGGTTCATGACATGAACAGTAGAAAACTGGAAATTGCAAATAATCCTGGCCTTTGAAATGCTGCCCAAATTGCAAGCATTTCAACCTTGCAGTGACTTTGTTTTGATGCTGTGAATCCCATGTTCACCAACTTGCAACTTGATAATGTGAATGAAAGTGGGGGAAATGTAGCAGAAAAAATATAGAATAACAGAAGGAGGTTTGGCTTTATTCAAAAAGTCATAATTATTTTTTACCTGATAGTAGTAATCCACATATTCCGTCTCATAGTGCCGAAGCCCAAGACTTTCAACAGATAAAGCATCTTTCAGTAATTCTTCGCAGCCTAAAAATAAAAAATAAGGGGGTGGAACAAGCTTTTAGAATCTCCTCATTAGAATTAGTTGGACAGGCAACACTTTGAGGAACAGAGGCATATCATGGCTAGTATAATAATACATGTTGCTTTGTACTGAGCACCCCTCTCCCCCACTAAGCCAATGTTTGACTGGGTGCAGTTTTACAGAAGCTGTAGCATACAAATTAGTGCTTTATTTCATGGAGGTGCAACAGATAAAAGAAGATAAGTGCTTCACAGATGAGATCCCCACTGTGTGGTTTATAAATAAATGTGTGTTTATTCTATATTTTCCATTCTAAGACAAATGTTCAGTACAGTTGACAACAAGATCATATAATAAAATATTTTTTAAAAAATATCAGTTTTTAAAATAAACAAGAAAGGGGAAAACTAAAGCAATCTTGTAATATTTTATAAAATGGGTATCTAAAAGAATTGAATTGGTCTCTCAACTATGAAATAATGAAACCTCATGAGGCAAGCTGTTCAGAGATGGTATTCAGCAGGTTCTGACCAGTTCTGGAAAACCGGTAGTGGAAATTTTGAGTAGTGTGGAGAACCGGTAAATACCACCTTTGACTGGCCCCGCCCCATCTATTCTCTGCCTCCTGAGTCCCATTTGATCGGGAAGGAATGGAGATTTTACAGTATCCTTCCCCTGCCACACCCAAGCCATGCCCACTAAGCAACGCCCACAGAACCAGTAGTAAAAATGTTTGAATCCCACCACTGCAGCTGTTCCACACTCTGGTTCCAATAAAAGAAAGACCCTGTATTTTTAGCTGTCACGCAGCAAAAGTGGAAAAGCTTCCTTCAATAATAAATTAGATCAGGAGTGTCCAACCTTGTCAACTTTAAGACTTGTGAACTTCAACTCCCAGAATTCCAGTCTGCCAATTCTGGGAATTGAAACCCATCTGTTTTAAAGTTCACAAGGTTGCACATCCCTGAACTGGTTTGGTCAATATAAATTTCAATATTGCTCATGCTATCTATGTCTATAGAGATTGATCAAATTCATGAGTATCGTATTTCCTCTAGTCACCAGAATTTTTAAAAGAACTATACTTTGCAAAGATATATCAATCATAATACATATGTTTTTCATATTGCTTCAAACTATTTTATAGAGGGTTTTAATTGGGCCTACTATCCAAAGACTTAAATTCCTCGGACAATATCTAATCAATATTTCTTAATCTGGGAATGTTGGCAAAATAATTTTACCCAAGTTCCAGCAACCATAAAGCACCTTTGTATATATTATTGCAGGATTTGCAGGATGTCATATTTTATTTTGTACTAGCTGATAACCCAGAGTTGTCTGGGTATTTATTTATGGGGGGGGGGGATGTCCAGACCAAACGTAATTTCTAATGTTGGATTTTCCCCCTTACCAGAGGTAGGCCCCTTGTGGAGTACTGTGTAGCCATCATCATAGCAACTCCACTGCTCTGTACAGTAGAAGTCTTTTTACGGCAGTATAGTAGAAGAAATTTTAAGGCACAACAGGCTATATCATAACAGAACACACACACCAAGGGTGTTAGGGGNCACACACACACACATGCTAATTTTTCCACCTTTATGTGATAATGAGCTTCTTGCTATTGGTTTGTTTTTTCATTGTTGTTTTTTTCAGCCTTGACAATGAAAACAGATATAGAAATCAGAAAGGGTGAATACTTGAGAGTACACTTCAAATATTGCAAGTGTATTACTCAGAAAGTGACCCTGACATGAATTAAAGATATGGAATAATTGATTTAAGGTACAGGAAATAAGATTCCAGTTGAACATTAAGAAAAACTTAGAAAAAATTGGGGGGGGGAGGAGTTACCTAGGGAAGGGTTAATCTCCACTCATTGTGTTGAAGCAGATACAGCAAACAGAATGGATATGTTACCATGGATGCTTTCAATAATATTCCTGCATTGATTAGGAACCAAGACTTGAGAGCCCAAACGTGCTTTTATCCAAAAGGCAATCGGACTTTCTTGGTGGGTTTTTTTTTAAATGTTTTGCTTCTCATTCAAAAAGCTGCTTCAGCTCAGTTCAACTTCAGAACTGAAGAAGTTTCTTGGATGAAAAGCAAAATGTCTTCAAAGGAAAAAATAACCCAGAAAGTTCAGTTGTCTTTTGGGGAAAAAAGCAACTTTGGGACAACTCCCAGGCACAATAACTACTTTATACACAATCTCCATTAATGGGGACTCTTGTTGTCTCTTTATATCCATTTGAGACACAAAAACTAAAACGTGCTTTTGTACTCAAGTCTAATGTGGTTTTCCCAAAGATAACTGAAGGAACACGTAAGAAATTGTAAAAACTGAATGATGGCGCCATTGCCTTAGCAAGCAATAGTAGCAGGTAGTGTAGTCTAGACTTCTTAGTATCATTTACTTACATTAGGCAGAAGGAACAACAGCTGGAGCTGCTGTTGAGCAGGACAAAACCTTCACTAAAATGTGGAACTTGGTGGATTAGATATTGGATAATGAACCAGACAGTGGTGACTCTCTCAGTTAGATGATGGATGCTATATTTTATAAGGCTTTAAATCAGCACTACTCAGTCTACAGCTACAGGACCATATGCAGAGGCTGCTTAGAAGAACTGAGTTGAAGAATTCCATGTTCAAGACTGTCAGGTCTCTACTCAATCCTCATTTGACAAAATCTAACATTTGCAAAAACAAGATGGAGTGACGATGTGGTTAGATGTTGGATGCAAAGTGGGAAGATTCAAGTTCAAGTTAAATCTGGGGGAATGTTGGCCAGTCCACAGTTGACTTGGGGAGATGCAGGGGCAAATTATGACATATGCACGAAACATCTTCCTGTAAACATCATGATTGACATCCTTGAAGAGGACATTGTGGCTCAGGTATATAGACACAACATTTGCATGGTAACATTGCCACATGTGTCACCATCTGTCTACATCTCTCTCTCTCTCTCTCTCTCTCTCCCCCCCCCCAACTACCTTACACATTTCTTAATTTGGGGATAAAATGAAGGGCCTTTCCCATGGAAACTGCCTTGAATCTGAAGAAAATATGGGATATAAATCAAAGTCTAATATGACGTTGGGAGGGGTGCGCTGTTCAGTCCAAACTCAGCAGGAGTTCTTGACCTATTCCAGCTTTCACTTTTAATTTTAAACTTCCGCAATGGGATATGGCATTGACTTCCAATTATTGTCTTGCAGAATTTCTCAACTTTAGGATTAGTAATGCTGGCCAGTAGGACATAAAAGCCAACATCTTCGTTCCTGGTGATTAGAAGCATACGTTGAGCTATTTCTTTTGATGATGCACTGCAGGAATAGGAAGGAAGTGGGAAGTTTTGACTTCAGATGCAAGATATAAATGCCACACATCTGGAAACACATGCACTTACTGTTTCTGTCTACGTCTCCACAACAAAATCCTCAGGCCATCTGTTTTTATTTTGACAGAAGGCCTGCAAATTGAATAGACAATTCTCCAGCATTCCTGACATCTGAAGGCTTTGCTAATGTAGATTCCGTCACATACTGAGTGCCATGTCCTCCCCTCCTTTGATTTATCCTTTCACCAAAAAGAAATACATAAAATGTAAAAGGAGATGATGGTTTCTTTAAAGCAATGCTGAGAAGTTTTCTCTTTCACACCACCTTAAAACTAGGCATTAGGAGGAATTTTCTGTTTAAAAATGTTAAATTTTATTGGAAGGTAGTGGAGTATGCAAAAAGAGTGGTAAGGCTACCAGTATGGTTTATTATTATTATTTTATTAAATCAATATTTACAACTTTCTACATCGAGGGTCATATTTTAAACTGATGCAGTAGCAATAAAAATAGAAATATTTTAGAAACTTAATAGAAAGCACAATATACTGTTGATAGGGAATCTTTCCCCAGAAACTTTCAATGTTGCTCACAACTTTTTATGCCTTCTAAAATAAAAATAATAATAACATGATGCTGTTTCCCATCTCCATCTGCAATAAGGCAGAGATTTAATAAGATAACATACACTCAGTTCTAGTTAAAATAAAAGGCTTCATTTATCGCAATAAATCAAAAACAACCAAACCACATCCTGGCTTAGAATAATCATCCATCATGGTGTAAACTATGTTTTGATTTTAGCTCCTTGCTTCTATTAGGCAAATGCAAAAATCAAATAAAAATAAGCAATACCCAGTTATAAAAAGATGCAGAACATATGTTCATGGACACATATGCATATGTAAAAATTCTCCGTAAGTGTTTAGCGATATAGATGAATGATTATGACCTTAGCCCAGGGTAAAACAATTGAGAAATTAATCATTAATAAATATCCACAGTAAAGGCTATTAGAATAACATAATAACAGAATTAGAAGAGACCTTGAAGGTCTTCTAGTCCAACCCCTTTCAAAAGCAGGAAACTCTATGCCATTTCAGACAAATGGTTGTCTAATCTCTTCTTTAAAACTTCCAGTGTTGGAGCATTCACAACTTGTGGAGGCAAGTTGTTCCACTGATTAATTGTTCTAACTGTCAGGAAATTTATCCTCAGTTCTAAGTTGCTTCTCTCCTTGATTAGTTTCCTCCCATTGCTTCTTGTTCTACCCTCAGGTGCCTTGGAGAATAGTTTGACTCCCGCTTCTTTGTGGCAACCCCTGAGATATTGGAACACTGCTATCATGTCACCTCTGGTCCTTCTTTTATTAAGCTAGACATACCTAATTGCAGCCAATATTCTCTGTATGTTTTAGCCTCCAGTCCCCTGTGGTTGAAATCAAAGGTTTACGACCTGCTTATTCTACATTATAGTAACACATCATAGCCATGGTGGCACAATGCTTAGAATCCAGGATTGCAGGCTAACTCACTGCCCACAGCCAACAATTTGATGCTGATCAGCTCAAGGTTAACTCAGCCTTCCATCCTTCTGAGATGGGTAAAATGAGGATTCAGACTGCTGGGGAAAATATGCTGACATTGTAAACTG